CAGAATGGAAAGATTCCTGACAGCTGGAAAGAGGCTAATATAGCATTAATACCTAAAGAGACTCAGGACCTGACTTTAACAAGAAATTATCAACCAATATCTTTATTGAACAATGACTATAAATTATTTGCCACAATTTTGGCTGTGCTGAGATGGACAAATTGACTTGAGAAAGGCCATTACTGACATTCGTCAATGACTGGAAATCCCTCACAGACTCTTTGCATGAGAAAGAAAATGATTTTGTGATTTGGGGGTTTGATGATTAGTAAGAATAGATTATAGAAAGAAGGGAATTATGATTAAATTAGAGAGAGTGATTTGATTAGAATTGTATGTATAACTGCTGAGAGGGATATCGGAGGCCATTTCTTTATTTTATATACTGTATATATATATACTGTATATATATTTTTATGTTTTCTGTCTTTATTTTTCTAACTTTTTCTGCTTTTTTTCTTTTTCACACTTTGCTATATTTTTCCTGTTTTTTCTTCTTTCTTTGAATGTATTATTATCTATGTAAAATCTTTTAATAAAAATTATTTTTAAAAAATAAGGATCTATTGATTTAAGGTACAACCCTAGGCAACAATGTGTGAGATTAGGATGAGGCACTCATCACTTGTGCTGGCAGAAATACTAGTTAGTAGACCTTCTTTGGCTGTCACCATCTTACCCATTATCTTCAAGTTTAGATTATCAAGCAAACAAAAACATTGTGAATTGGAATGCATATTAAGTGGTTGGTTCCCAAATATATGCTTCAGTAGATTCTAATTTTATTACTACTACTATACCAAATATTATTTAATCCTTTAAGTGTCTGTATGCTAAATAACAAAGTGCCACTGATACCATTCAGTGATTAAGTTCCAGAACAGTGTTCAAGCTTGGCAACTTTAAGATGCATGGACTTCAACTCCCAGAATTCCCCAGCCAGCATGCTCCAGAGAGAAGCATGGGAACAAAGGAGGTGTACATTCCAAAAGTGTACAAATGTTTACTGGGGATTAATGTTTCTAGCATAAACTGCCTATGTTAATATAAACACTCCTGAATCACCTCATACCTTCTGGCCCTCAGTGACCATGAAGAACCCAGTGCCCTTTCACACTATTTGCAGAGGTGAATGCAGTAGAATAAAGCAAAGGTACACAATTTTTGTCATGGGTTGCAATCCAGAACAAAAACAAAAATGTGCAATTTGCTTAAATGTCATACATTTATAAACATTTATAATCTTAGTAACTCTGGGTGGCTGATAGTGATGTAATAAAAAATCCAATAAAGCAACATTAAAAACAATATGAAACCGTCTAGAGCTTTTGAGTGGGGGAACAGCTTGTGGCCCTGAGCCTTGGGTATGTAAGTATGGGATAAATATATCATTATCAGAATACTAGCATATTTCTGCTCCTGGATCAGCAGAAATATGGCCCTGTTCTTGCACTCCAGCAGAAACATGTCAGGAAAGGTTTTGATTTGTTTCTGATTTGTGTATTTGAGTTTTTATATTGTAGCACAGGCATCAGTTCACACCATTAATTTCATAGATTGTTCAGATGATGTCCTTTAAGCATTAATCCATGTTTATGATCCTTTTGTCTTTTTTCTCAAATGAGGATCATTCTTCTAGGCACAAATGTGCAAAATTCCATAAGCGTGACCGTTCCTTAGCCCTTTATTCCTTGGGGCTCTGGGAGAGAACTTCAGCTAAGGCGGCACTCATTGTCACTTGCTCTTCACTTGTTCAAACCCCAGTTGTGAACATCCATAAAGAGCTTTTATCTATTTACACATATAGATGAATCAGAATTCTGGAACTGATACACCACCAGATTGCCCTATCTACCACCGCCCCACGGCAAAACTGCCTTTGCCGCTCTTCCACTGGAACAGGAGTCAAGCTCATTTTCTTAAGTCCCACAACATGTGCAGATGCAGGAGCAATCCCGATCTGAGACTGGAGCAGCCCTCGGGTGCAGAAGGAACTAAGATTGCCTGCCTTCCCCATTTTAAAAGTAAACTGTGGGGGAGGGGGGAAACTAGTTTCTTTTCATGTAAAGACAGCATATGAAAGCCCCACGCATATGCTCATGATTACTGTTCAATGGATATGAACTGATAAAGAAGGTCAAGATACACAAGAGAGAATGTAGAAGTCTCAGTACACCTTGCCATGATCCATCCACTGGGGTAGACTTACTGTATACAACATTAATGTGTGCTACTCTGCAATTTTTTTTTTAAATGGAAAAGCAGTAATATGAGAGGGAAAAGTTCTCCCTTGGATACAGCCCATGAGTTGATTTTCTCACCGTTTTTCCTCCATAAATCCATTTTAATTTTTAAAAGCTACAATGTCTAATGAGATCCTTATTTGCTACTGTTAAAAGTTAAAACACTGAACTGCAGTTGTATCCTTGTTGCACTAAAACTTCCCTTGGTCTGTACTCTTCTACCAAAACCCAATAAAAACACTGATACAACTGTGGATTGTGAGAATTAGGATCAAAGAAACAACAGCCCCCTTTTTTAATTCAATAAAGGGCAACATTTTGCAGGTATTTGCTAAGTGAATAGCAAGCATTTAAGTTTCTAGCAATTTTAATATCGACATAATTATGGCAGCACACTGATTTTAGGAGAGAAACCTGCAATTACAAAAGTCTAACAAATACCTTGATTTTTTTTTAAAAAATGTTGAAAGTGATCACCCAAATCTCCAAGAGCTTATTGGTCAAGAACATGGTTTGCTCAGTGTATCAAGTTTAGTTTTTAGGTCCTGCAGCTAGGCTGGCCAAACTAAAATTAAGTAGGCACACAGCTCATAATTGGTTACTTAAGTGTACTTTTTTTTCCAGATGCAACAATTTCTTAGGCAGATGTTTGTTTGCTCCAGTGACTTTTATTAATAGGAGTGATCCTCTCCCTGGGGGGAAAAAACACAACAGAGTAAATTGTTCACATATTCTATCCTTTATCAAAGCCAGGGTTGAGAACGTATGGTCATCCAGATATCATTGAATTAGCATCCCTAACAATTGGTCATACTGGCTAAAGACTGTAGGAAGCTCTAATTAAGGAACAACTGGAGAACCACACTTTTCCTCTAAAGAACTTACAGCTGCCTCTCAACAAACTTAGTGACCTCTCCTAAGCCACTTAATGGGTTTTATAAGGGAACAGAGTTTTGAATCTGTTCTATGTATAGGTTGACTAGATTTATCACTAAAAGAAGAAACACTGGATCCAAGACAACAGTGAAAAAAGAATTGTAAAGACCATTCTCTTGTGTCTTACCTCTGCTTAGTTTTGCATATCTAGTTTTTGAATTTTTATGGTATAGGGATGCCTAAAAACTCACACATTGTTCTTCACAGAACAGCGTAGATGCCAAGTGTTTCCCCTTTATGGTGTAAAAAGCTACCAGTTTGGTCAAATTTTATTTTATTATTTTATCATTGGATGGGTGAAGGTTTACGGCAGGGTTTCTCAACCTTGGCAACTTTAAGATATGTGGACCTCAACTTCCCATGCTGACTGGGGAATTCTGGAAGTTCTTAAATCTTAAAGTTGCCAAGGTTGAGAAACCCTGGTCTATGGAATGGCGATGAATTTCCTATCCTGAAGCCATTTTCATATTATCCTCATAGGTTCTAGATCTACAGGTAACAGCTCTGAATAGGCTATTTTTTCAATTCTCAGCCAAATGTGTTCCTTGGTTCCTTAAATTTTGAATTAAATCATGTTGTTTCACAATCACAAACAATGCATTAGGAATTGCCCACTGATTCATTCACTTAAAAATATGGAACATACAGGATGCATGCAGTTTGCTACTATTTTTATCTACGTCTTCTACACAACTCTGCCTACACTTAATACGGATATGTACAATGGTGCCAAGATTGTATTTTTGTTTGTATATGTGTATACATGCTAGCTTTGCTAATATGCAGAGTAAAGTGTATGAATAAAACTGCAAAAAGTAGTATTGCTATAATAGTAATAACATAAAATATCACATTAATATTTTGTGGTGTTGTCTTTTCAGAATTATATTGATCATAAACATGGGGAGAGATTCAAAGATGCTGAAAACTGGGACATTGAAATTCCCAATTATGCCATGAATTTTAGAAACTGTAGCTGAATGAATTGAGAAGAATTAGAATTTAGGGTAGAGCAAAATAGAGAGGATAATTTTAATAAAATTAAAATATATTACGATATAATAATAATAATAATAAAAGACAACATGCACTGAGCCTTCTTCTTTCTAAACATCTTCCTCTTAAATCCTTATTGTTATCTCTGTTTCATGAATCCAATTCCATCTACTATTCAAGAGTTTATGAGGCACCTAAAGAATATATGTGCCAATGGCCATCAGGCTAAACATTATAAACAAACCTGCAAATTTCATTTTAGAAAGTAAATGTTAATTTAAACTGCATCCAGAACAACTAGATAAGCATGGCCAGGCATGCAAATTAAAAATCAGAATTCCAAACTTGATGGAATTTGGGGATTTTAAAAAATGATTTTTCTCACTTGCATACTTATAATTTTTCACTTACTTTAAACACTTGTCCCTTTCCAAGTTACTAAGATAACGTTGTGCTTCATTCAAATAAAGGGAACGGTATCTCATTTTCTTTGGATATAGCTCATGCTTTGCGGCATCATAGCGGCCAACACCAACAGGATTCTGTAAAGAGTAGAGCATTTGGGGTACAGTAAGCACTGAAAACTTTCTGATTACCCACTTCAGAGTAAGGCCGTGGCAAATTGCTTCTATATTAACGTCAAAAAATCTACTGTACATGGATTTGTCTATGAAGTCACTAGCAGTCGAGCTCCACCGGAAGAAGAATTTGCTTAGGGTGAAGCATTTTGCATCTTTCAGCACAAATTGTCTTTCAGCTACTGCAGAGGCACTGCAGAAGTGGGTTACAACCATCTGTTGCTGTTTCTTGCTACGTCTAGAGCTATGCAACATCGGGAATGCAATTTTTACTAAATGCTCAGTTGGATGTTCCATATTGAAAATGATGACAATTCTCCAACTGATATCAGTAGTGTGAAAATATATACTCAATTATCCCAGTTATGCATTCTGTTACCTTAATAGTATATTTACAGATAAAAGTCCTAAGACTGAATTTGGTGGAACCTCAAATTAAAAGTTCCAATGAATTGGTTACATAAATAGAAGGGTGAAGCATTAATTCAATAAATAAATGTGTCTCAAACACACTTGATATCAATATAAATCTTGACCAATCCATTAATGTTGAACAAGAGATCCAACATCTTACATCCCACATCCTTGAAGGGTGAAATATTGCTGCCTGCTTGTTCTAACTAGTATACTTGAAGTTGGTTGTCTTTGTGTAGAGAATGTTGGAAGAGACATACTATTTGGTCTGATCCAAATCTATATTTATACTGAGAATATTGCATGAATACCAGTAAGGAGAAATGGTTGGCTCTTCTTAAAACGAACAGGGAGATTAAATATGTTATTATATAGACGCCTCTTATAATCACCATTGAGAAGGATGATTCTTCTTGGATTTACATTGAAGAATTATAGGTTTGATTATTCTGTCTCTGGAGAATAAGGATGTCAAGCTAGATTGGCTATATGCATTTCACCCAAGACCCGCTCAACAATTGGTTTAAATTGCACCAATTGGATCATCTAGCTCAACACTGTTTGCGCTGACCACAGCAGTTCTTTAGGAGTTTGTTTTTCCTATCACATCTGGAATGATAGGGCTGAGCTTGAGGCCACTAGCACGCAACACCTGTACTTTTGCCAGAGTGAGCTTTGTTATGTAACTATTCCTCTAAAGAGAAATCGTGGCACAAAAAACATTATTTTGCATAGCACACCATGTACACAGACAGAGAATTATACACTAGATATAAGGAAGTTTGTTCTAGCCAATTACCACATCTAGCCTTTCTTAAGCCTTGTCTTTGATTCCCAAATGGAGACCAGAATTCTCACATATTTTGCCAGCTCTGGCCACTTGAGCCTAAACTGCTGATGAGTCCAGATCAGTGTGGAAGAAGTGAGACCTTTCAAAAAGAAGCTTTCCCTAACTGCTTGAGTGCTTCTAATATCAGATAAATGCAAATGACCAAAATTGCACCATCCTTGGCACATCAGAATTTTAGAAGTTTGAGCCTATGGGCAAAGGAAATATCACACTCTTAAGCCACTAAAGAAATTATTTGGAATCCAATATAGAGGAAGGAGCACTTGAGCTACTGGATGTTTTGGACTTCGGTTCCCATTTCAGCATGGCCAACAGCACAAAATTAAGGGAACTGTAATTAAAAAATTTCTGAAAGGTACAAAGCTGCTTATCTCTGATGAAGGCTGAAAATTACAAATGGGTTGGGAGAAATGAATGTAAATTCATATACACTGGGAGAATATCAATTTAGTCATCTTGCACTCATGTTGCTGTTGCCATAGACCAACTGAAGTAAATAAAAACATTGCAATAACTCTGTGTGTGTGTGTGTGTTTGTGTGTAAGCAAGTAAAGATTGCTTCAGCCCCATTTACTGGTGGCCTGAAAAGCCTATAGCTTTTGCTTGAGAGAATATAGCTTTCTGGGGAAGGGCAACTTTCCTCACCTGAAGCCACTAGTTGCATTGGATTGCAACTCCCATCACCCCCAGACACCACTGGGCCATGCTAGCAGGGGAGAACAACCATAGTCCAAAACATTTAGAAAGGAGATGGATGGATGGATGGATGGATGGATGGATGGATGGATGGATGGATGGAGAGAGAGAGAGAGAGAGAGAGAGAGAGAGAGAGAGAATGATAGATTTATCTTGAGCATCTTTGAGGCCAATTAGTAATCTTACAAGTTAAAAAACTGACCCAAATTTTATAGCTACAAATATAAAATTTCAAGAAATGATGAACCCACAAGGAAAAAACCTCTACTTTTTGAAACAAGAGCAGATCCACTGACTTCTAAATAAAAATAAACAACAAATAAACCCACAAATAAATCAGGGATTGAATCCTCCTCCTCTCTTTGGTTAAGATGGCAGTGCCAGCTCCTGGAGGTGGAGGCATGGAAACACAGCCCTGCTCTTGCACTAAAGAGCTCCACTGTGTACAAGAACCGCAATGCTCCAAGGCTCTATATAAAAGTCTTCCTGCTAAAAGTTAATAAAAAATACAATATATGAGCACCCTGTCTTATTGCATTCGTTATTCAAAAAGAAACGTTTTCACTTGAATGTTTTTCCACTTTCCAACATTTTTAAATTTTTTCAATTGTGTGAGAAAAAAAGGAAAGTAATTTTCTTCCCCCACTCCTCCAAGCCTTCCTATCTCCAGTTTCTTACATGCAACCTATACAGTGAAATTGATGGCACAAAGGATAGGCCCAAGTTACTAGTGGATCTTTGAATGATCTCCTTCCCCTGTAACTGAACCATATATGGTTTTATCATCTAAGAGGCAATAACTCAGTCACAGTGGCAAACGAGCTTTATCGAAGAACGGTTCTGAACCCAGTTTTCCTCCCAGGGGCATCTGCAGAGGGACTGGCATCCAAAAAGTCAAATTGGCAGTTACAACCATGCAATGCAAGCGCCATCTCTTTTTATATATGCTGCATGCGTGATAAACATGGTTGCAACTGTCATTTGTCTGTCTTGACTTCCTCGTCCCTGCTCCCTTCTCTAAGTGAAATTCTGCTGGCTGTGTCCCTCTAGCCCTTTCGGAGTAGCAACAAGAAAAAAGGCAGCAACGAGAAAGAGTTATAATCAAGTTTCTCCCTTACAGAACTTCCAAAAAAGAGACGGTATGCTTTTCGGTCAAATCTTTTTGCACCAATCCAGAACGGTGGTTGATTTTCATATTCTGTTCTCTTAATGGGCTTTATGTCATAGGAGCCTGGTCCTGTTTGGAACTAGGGAAAAGAAATAGGCAATTATTTTCTGTTAGTGACTGATATTACCATATGTTCATCATCTTCATCATTAAGCACACATTACAGAAAAACATCCTGGAGAAGATTTGCCTTCCTTCATCAAAGTGAGGCACATGTCATAAGTTATTACCAGTCCCACCATTCTTTTCTTTGCACATCCACAACTGGGCACTTATTTGTTTGCTAGCAAAAGAGGGTTTTCTATCAAGGTGTTTCCTACCTATTTTTCAGTCTGTGTAGTATAAAGAAATAATGTATATTAAATCCAGTACGCTTAGCCTAAGTTTACAGGTTTCACAAAATATTTTTAGGGTTAAGGTGTTTCAGTACAGTATTCTCATTAATTGCCAGAGGCAAGAACTCTTTTTCTTCTACTCTTTCTGGTGCCGGGATGGCATAATGCTGCCACCCAGTGGGATTTCTCAGTTGCTCTCTCTATGGACAGTCTCCATTACCATCCTACAGAAGAAAATATGTGGGATCTAAAGAAATCAGAGGTTGGGAAACCAGAAGCTGTGAGAGTCTGCAAATTAAGTCTGTAAATGAGAACGGCTGAGTCATTGGTTCATTCCTCCCCAGACTTTTCTAGCATCTTATAATATTATCCCATCACCTCTGTGATGAGACAGCAGGAATAAAGAGAGGCTTTCTATTGCCACAACCATGGCTGGGCGAGGGTGAAAGAGGCAAGACATCATTAGGGAGGAGATGGCCATTGGGTCATTTGGTGGAAGCAAATGGAAACGCGGGCAGGAGAACAAGAAGCACATCAGGAATAGGAGAGATTCGGTTCTGAGAGAACATACAGAATATATAGCAATGAACAAATCTGTCTGTTTCAGTTTCTCTTCCTTTGTAACTTGGCAATACGCACCGTTCGTATTTTTTTCAAGTTCGTGTTTTTATGAATACATTGCTCATAATGTATGTTTCACGCCCACCTCTTGAGACAGAGCAGCCTGTTCCGGGAGAACCGGTAGGATTTCAGCCCGAGACAGCCCCGAGCACGCCATCCCCTGAGGCTGATCCCTCCTGCAGCCTCCAGGAGAAGCTGCCTCGCCCTCTCAGAGGACGAGGAATTGGAGCTGGAAAGACCGCCCAGCCCCAGAGCGTGCCGTGGCCTGCCAGGGCCGTTCCCATCTTTGATTGGCTTCCCTGGCGAGGGATCTACTTAGGAACAACTGCTAACCCGTCTCCCTTTGTTGGGAACAACCGCTCCGCTTACCGGAACCTCTGTCTGTTGCGCCCTGAACTCTTCCCCGCGGAAGCTCCGTTCTTTTGGACCCGGACCGGCTGACGCCCTACCGACGATGCAACGACCCCTGGACTGTGCCCTGGCGATGCTTCTGCCTGCTGCTTGGATTTTGCTTATTGGGAACTTGCCCGTAAGTCAGTGTTGTCCAAACTTGGCCACTTTAAGATGAGTGGATTTCAACTCCCAGAATTCCCCGGAATTCTGGGAGTTGAAGTCCACTCATCTTAAAGTGGCCAAGTTTGGACAAAACTGCCGTAAGTTTTCTAAGGGATTCGGGGCTGTTTGAGACTGCATGTGTCTGCATGCACGCTCTGTCTCCCGCTCCTGCAATTGCTCAGGCAGAGCAAAGCTTTTTAAACTGTTCTCCTTTGCATGTATGCCAGGCCTGGGACAGGACAGTATGGGTATTTTGTTTATTTTTTTGTTAAACACACATTTTTTGGTTTATTATTATTATTATTATTATTATTATTATTGTGAGAAGGCAGGGAGAAGTGAGGGCCTCAAACGAACCATG